AGAAAATATGCAGTATTATTATTATTATCATTTTTGTTTCAATCTCTTCGTGTCCTTTGCAAAGGAACTTCAGGTACCTAAAGGACATCAACTCTTAACGCTGCTTTGGTCCATCTGTTTCATTTGGCAAGGATTGACCCTCCACCCGCGTTGTCATTATGGAACAAGTGGCGGGGTCTGTAGCTTGGGACGCCGTACGAGTAGTGTTTGGCATGGTATGACCCTTGGCAAATTCATGATTATACAAAAGTCGAATCAGTCGAATTGATTTTGACATCCTACTCCTCCAGTGCCGATGGAATGACCTCCCGGAGAAACGAACTACAGATGTTTGACTTAATCTTATTCTCCGGAGTCACGTGTCATTTCGGCTCTGAGCACACTGACGCCGACGCCCTTAATGGAGTAGTAGCACGCCATAGGGACAGCAAGACCATTCCCGGGCCAGGATTAGCGCCCAATCGATCACCGTATACTGTCCTGCGTACAGGCAGCCCGGTGGGAAGCCAGGATGTTCGCAGTCAAGGTTATGTCAGCGGCACGCCCTATGCAGGTCAGTCGCTTAAGGCACGAGTAATAGGCTGAGATAAACACCGCGAGGGAGCGTAGTTCAGTGGCGGTCATTAGTCGAGTCTGAGTAAAATCAACAACGGGTGAGTGAAGAGGTGAGTCTGCTCGTTGGTGGGTGCAGTTTTCAGCCAGCAGCCAGCCCCTGATGCTTTGATGTGGACGCATGCAATCAACCTCTCGTCTGTTAATGTAAAGTTAGAGGTACTAATAAGTAGGCCCCGTGAGTCCTCGCAGTGCCCGCCACTCATTCGTGGCGCCGCAGAGGCACGATGGCTTGCAGTTGTGGCAGAAATCACCCCTCGTGAATCCGCAGCGTAGCGGCATTGTCGTAATGTTGGTTTTGGGGGTCCTAGAGATTTCGGCTATGTTACCAGTTAGTTCATTTATAGTTATTAGCGTTTGTTTATTGGGTTCTTGCCAAATACCCTTTGGCCTACCCGGAACACTAATATGCTGGACATTATATTGGGTGCCTAACTTGTAGGATACATAACTAATGATTACTGTACTGGACTATGCTGATCCCGATGTTCCCTGGCTAGTGGCTGCGGCGCGACTGTCACTCGGCGGAGCCCTCGCGTCCAGCTGCGCTGGCATTCTACAGAGCTGCACCTTTGCGATCAGTCGC